TGGGGTGCAGGGTGGGGTGCAGGGTGGGGTACAGGATGGGGTGCAGGGTGGGGTGCAGGATGGGGTGCAGGATGGGGTGCAGGGTGGGGTGCAGGGTGGGGTGCAGGATGGGGTGCAGGGTGGGGTACAGGATGGGGTGCAGGATGGGGTGCAGGGTGGGGTACAGGGTGGGGTGTAGACTGGGGTGCAGGATGGGGTGCAGGATGGGGTACAGGATGGGGTACAGGATGGGGTGCAGGATGGGGTGCAGGCTGCCGTGGCCCGGGACATAAGGACACCGCGCTCCGTGATTCCCACGCGGCCGGGAAATCTCCGGCAGAATCCGCAGCGCCTCCGGCCCCGGGCCGGGCTCAGGCTCCGGCTTGCGGAGCGCGCTGCTGGCTCCAGGCGCTGCTGTCTGCGCTGCCTGTCGGGGCAGGGCCATCCCTCCCTGCTGCAGAGCCACAGCGCTGCTCCGCGTCACCGGAGCACGAACCACCGTGGGAATCCCTGGGGACTAGCGCAGTGGGACTGCTGAGCACGGAGCCTTGGGGTGCCGGGGGGGGCTTTGGAGCCCGACTAGGTTTAAGGGGTCATGACTGGCAAAGCTCTGTGCAGGATTTGTGCTCTCCCATGCCCTGTGGGGTCCCACAAATCAAAGCAACACCAGGGTAAGAAGCTGAAAATCCTGTTAAGGCACTTTTGGTACAGGGAATTGGGGTCCCCAGCATTCTCCAACAGCCCAAGGACATCCCAGGGTAAGACAATGTCCAGCAGCACAGCTATGTCACCACACCATCACTTCAGTGCCCTGCTGAGGGGTTCCTGCTGCAGCAGCAGCTTTCCAGCCCTTTTTTAAAACTGGGACCCAGCCACATCCATCTGTCCCAGTGTCACTGTCACACAGGCAGAGCTCCCTGTGGCACGGATCCTTCGGCCACAGCCTCATCCATCCCCTGTCCTGCAGGAGAGGCCTGGGGTCCCCACCAGGGCACCAAGTCCTGTGCATGTCACTTGCATGAAGGGTGGCGGGGCCCCAGGCAGGGATGTCACCTCCTGCCCTGTCTGAAGCGCCAGGTGGTGGCCCTGCCTGTGTCCTGTGCCAGCCCAGCTCTTGCGGTGCCTCTGTCCTGACCCGGCAAGGGGGAGCCAGCGCCAGCACTGGCCTCCCCGAGGCCACTGTCCTCGTCCCTGGGCCGCACAGCGGTGACCTCACTTGCCCGCAGGGATCCCGTTCTCTCCAGCAACTGCCGAGCCAAGGGCCATCTCCATCCGACTCCTGGGAAGCTGCGATTCCCTGGGCTGTCCCACCGGGGCTGCGTCCAGCTGCACCACTGCAGAGAGAAAGCTCCTGTCACCCGCTCGGCCAGCGCTGGGACATGGGGCATCCTGAGGGGACTGCGGAGTGGGGCCAGACACCATCCCCTCCCCATCCCACGTGCAGGACGGCAAAGGGCCCTGTATCCCTCAGGCCACCCCAGACAGAGGGAGGATGTTAGAAAGTCCCTGTCCAGGATACACAGAGGCCAAACCCACGGGGCATCGCAGCCAGTGCAGGGGGACATGGGAACATCAACCTGCAGACCCGCCCCGGTCCATGGGACCCCCTTTGTGATTCCCCAAACCACTCAGGGATGGGAACCTGCGGCCAGGGACCCCATCCTGGGCTGGGTCCCGGTACCTGCTCGGCAGCTGTGCCGGGCGCGCACCTCCTGCATCGCCTGCTGGTTCTTGAAGCGCACGAGCCCCATGGTGATCTCGGCGTTCCAGCCCGGGTCCTCCTGGGCGCAGCGGAAGTCGATCTCGAGGCTGTCGTCCATCACCACCGTGAAGTAAATGTGCCGCTCCTTCCACTCCACGCACTCCACGGCCTTCATGCGGGCGAAGCTCAGCTCCTTGCGCCGCGAGCCCTTGGGCTCGAAGAGCTGCAGCCCCTTCTCGGTCAGCAGGCACCGCTTCTTCTTCCAGAGCTGCAGCAGCCCCCCGCTGCGCTTCTCCAGCACCCCCTCCCTCAGCACCTTCTCGGGGGTCATCACGGCTGCTCGGCCCCCGGGTCCTCAGCACCCTGTGCCGGCCCAGCCGGGCATTACTCGCGGGGGAATTCCAGCCGCTCCACGCCGGAGCCGAGCTCCGCGGGGCCGGGACCCGCAGTGGCCGCGCTGGGCTCGCCGCGCTCCGCTCCGGCTCTCAGAGGGGCAGAGCCATGGGGTGCCCCATCCGGCCGCCAGCCCGTCCGGGGCTCCGCTCTGCCCGGCCGCGTGTGGGATCCGCGCTCCCAGGAGCTGTCGCTACTTGCCCGGCCGCTCTCCCACTCGCATTCCTGCCGCCTCGCCTGGCCCCTCCTGCTCTCAGCCTCCCTTCACGCCCAGGCGAAGCCCGACCGGGCCCGGCGCGGCCCCGCTTCACCCGGGAGGAGCTTTTGGGGTGCCAGAGGGCAGGCGTAGCCTCAGGGCCTTGGTGTGAACAGGCAGGCTGCGGGATGGGGCTGCGCGGCAGGCTGCGGGATGGGGCAGGGACAGATGCTGGAGGTCCAAGAGCAGCTCTCGGGGGGTGCAGTACCAGGGGCTGGGGGTGCAGCCCCGCGGGCACAGGGCTATAGGGTGCAGTGCTAGCGGGGAAAGTGGGCTGTGGGGCACAGGGCCGACTGGGCAGGGGGCTGTGCATAAAATGCCAGCCAGGCAGAGGTACAGAGTGCAGTGCCACCGGGCAAGGGGGGCTGGGGGTTTCAGTGCCAGCCAAGAAGGGACAATGGGCTGCAGTGCCAGGGCAAGGGCTTCTGTGTGCAGTGCCAGCTGGGACAGTAGGCTGTGTGTGCAGCACCAGCCAGGCAGGGGCTCTGGGGACGCTGAGTGCAGCCCAGGAGAGACAAAAGCAGAGAACAGACAGCAGCAATGGGGACAACCCCTGACAGCCACCCACCCCCCCCACCCACTCACTCAAGGGTGCTGGACCACCCCTCAGCACACAGAGCTCCCATCCCTCAAAGCCCCGGGGACGGGGTTTGAAGCCCCCACGCTGTCCCACAGCAAGGAGCAGCATCCCCCAGCCCGTGTGACCCGCACGGGGGAAGGAGCCGTGGAGCGGGGCCGGGACAGCGCAGCCCGGTCCTCCTGCCTGATCCTCCCCCCCCTGCAGCCAAACACCGTCTCCTTTCCAGCCCGTCTCGTTCCCGGCCACCGCAGCACCGTCTGTTCCTGTGCCAGTGCCTGGCACCGAGGGTTCCCCGGGCCGGGCCGGGCTGGGCTGCCGGGGGCACATCTGGGGACTTGTGCGGGCCGTGGGCTGCCAGGGTGGGTGATGGTCACAGGGGGCTGGGCAGCTGAATGTGCCCCTGCCAACGCTGAGAGTGGGTCTTTCACCCAGGTGAGGTGTGCAATGGGAAGAAATCCCCCGGGAATCTGCTGGGGTCACTGACGGGAGCTGGATCAGCCCCTGGCACACAGCCCCTGCTCGTGCACCCCTCGCAGCCCCAAGCCCGCAGAGCCCCCGGCTGGAGTCCCCTCCTGCCCCCGCTCCTCCATCCCTGCCGGGGGCTTTGCCGGCAGCCGCCGTGGCCAGGGGGCAAGTCTGCAGCGCTGATGAGAGGCACCTCATTATCCCTCATTAAGAGGGCAGGGCGGCTGGTGGAGCCAGGAACTGGTTCGTGCTCCCTGGGGCCAACCTCGCCGCGCTGGCAGAGATCCCGGGTGTCCCAGGAGACCCGGGCTCCTGACGTCAGGCGGCCCCGGAGGTCACCCTGGGCACCCCAGCGCTTCGGCAGCAGCGGAGCAGTGTGGGTTCCCCTACCAAGGCTGCTTTCCCACGCACGGGTAATGCTAAGCTCCAGGGATGCCGAGCCCTGGGAGCTCGGGGGGAGTGGTTTTGCGCTGTCACTGCTCTGGTAAGCTGGGATGTCCGTGGGCAGTTCTGCCTCACCCTCCAGCTCCAGCTCCGTCCTCAGAGCCCAGGGCGAGCCAAGGGCTGCCAACCCCGGCCCGAGGCCCCCGCCCCTCTGCTCACTGCAGTCACTGCTTCTCCAGGCAAGGTGATGGTCCCGCAGCCCTGCGTGTGATGGAGCTTTGACCACGTCCTTCTCCACTGCCGTCTGCCCAGCTGTCCATTCCCAGACACACAGGCAGGGGTCTCGCCCTGCCAGGCTGCCCGGGGGCACACGGCACCTCCTGCCCTGCAGCAAACCCTGCAGGACTCGCTGTGCCAGGCTGCGGGTGAGCCCAGGGCTCTGCTCCATGGCTGCCCACGGCTCATCCCACCCACACGGGGCCGTCAGGGCAGGTCACGGGGCTGCCAGGCTCTGCCCTGCCCCAAAGTGACATTCCCACAGAGCTGGTGACAGGTGACATTCCCTCTCACAGCCCCGCCGGCCATGGGGCTTGGAGGCTCCAGTCTGACCCCTCAAGTGGTGCCATCACCTCCAGGCTCCAGGGGCCTTGGCCACAAGCCATCCCTGGTTTGTCCCTTCAGGGCAGGCTGCAGCCCCCGAAGGGGAGCTGGACCACACCCGGGCACGGCTGAGCAGGCACCTCCGGCTGGGCCCTGCGTGCTCGCTCATCAGCAGAGGGTAGCAGATGGTCGGAGCTGTCCCACTGCAGCTTGGCAGGAGATGCCCCAAAAGCACCTCTAGTCCCACCCTGCTTTACCTGGGCCATGTCCCACCACCTCCTCCAGCCCCCCTCATGCCTCTGTAAGAATGTGCAGCCCCTGTGATCCCATCCTGGTGTCCCCATGGTGGTCTGTCACTCCCTAAGCCACTCTGAGTGACCAGTGCAGGGTCAGCAGGTGTGTGGCACCCAGGCAAACCCTGAGGGTATGATCCCTGTCCCAGGACACGGCTTACCCGGCGGGCTGGGAGCTCAGCAGAGACCCACTAGGCAGGAGAAAAGAGGACTTGGGGAGGCTGAACTTCAGTTTTCCACTGTCTATAGAAGGGTTGTGGAGAAGGGAGACACGGCCCTGACTGGCAAAAGGGCACAAGACACCGGGCACAGGGGCACAATAGGAAAATCAGGGATTCACAGCATCATTAACGCTGGAAATGCCCTCCCAGGTCACAAGATCATCCATTCCAGCCTCTCCCCCAGCACTGCCACATTCACCACTAACCCATGTGCCACATCCACAGGTCTTTTGAACACTCCCAGGGATGGTGACTCCACCACTGCCCTGGGCAGCTGTGCCAGGGCCCAACCATCCTTTCAGTGGTGAAACAATCCTTTCAAGGGTTGTGTGGCACAGTGCTGTGACAAGATCCACAGTGGTGGGACCTCCATCCTCAGAGGGTTCCTGTACCTGAGTGGACACCAAATACTCTGATCAACCTGAACTTTGGGACCCTGCCTTCAGCAGGAGGTTGCAGTTAAGACTTCTGCTGGTCCCTTCTAACCTACATCTTTCCATGGCCCTCCAAAACCAAATCCAGCATTTTCTCCTGGCTTTGACCAGGCCTCCAGTAGAATTGGCCTCTCTGGGGCCCATCACATGTGAAATGTCACTATCTCATCAAACCATCAACTGGTTTGGGTTGAAAGGTTAAGAACCATCCTGTTCCATCCTCTGCCACAGGCCACTATCCCAGGTTGCTCCAAGCCCTGTCCAACCTGGTCTTGGACGCTTCCAGGGATCCAGGGGCAGCCACAGCTTCTCTGGGCACCCTGTGCCAGGGCCTGCCCACCCTCACAAGGAAGAACTTTGTCCCAATATCCCATCCATCCCTGCCCTCTGGCAGTAGGATGCCATTCCCCCTTGTCCTGTCCCTCCAGGCCCTTGTCCAAAGTCCCTCTCCAGCTCTCCTGGAGCTCCTTTAAACACTGGAAGGGGCTCTAAGGTCTCCCTGGAGATTTCTCCAGGTGACATCCCCAACTGTCCCAGCCTGTCTCCAGAGCAGAGGGGCTCCTGCTCCTCCCCTCTCTCTGACAGAACCTCTACAGCTGCACGAGGAAGGGACTAAATGAAGACTCATTGTAGCTTTACTGACCAACCAGCACTGCCTGGGCACAATCCCATCTGGGGCACATCCAGCTGAGATGCCACATCAGCAGCACAGCATGCCCTGCATGCCCAGAGAGAAGGCAGTGGCTTCCTGACCCCTCCATCCGTGCAGCAGCTCCACCTCACACCTCTGCAGCAGCTTCCTGACCCCTCATCTCTGCAGGAGCTTCCAGAACAAGCTCTCCCCTCAGCAGGGCCTCTGCCAAGTGAGGGAGGCATTTTGGGTCTCCACACCAGGCTGGCACCTGGGCCCTCTGTGCTGCCTACCCGAGCCTGAGCCATCTGCCCCCCCACCAAGTGCCACCAGACCCGTCATCCAGCCACCACACAGCCCAGAGCAGTGGGTCCTGCTTAACTCCCCATCTCTGCTTCATGAACACCACATAAAACTGTGTGTGTGTGATGAACAGGAGAAAGCACTTAGGTTGATAAAGGAGCCCAAGTCCTGCCCCAAAAAGGGATTTCTGCCTCTGTTGTGCTTCTCAGAACACTCTTCATCTCATTTGCTCAACTACAATGTTTATAACTTTAAAAACCCCAGAATGCAATTGCCTGTGGAGTCCCTAAGCTGCAACGAGGCTGATCCAAGTCTGTCCCACCAGTCCAACAGGAGAATCACAAAAAGGGAGTGAAGAGTTTAGATGAAAACCAATTAAACCTGGGCAGCTGCCAAACTGGAGGCTTAATGATCCACAAGCTGCTAAAAAAGCAGGGAGTAGGTGAAAAGCTGTTAATTACTTGGCACTGCAGGGCACGCCTGTTTGGAGAGGTGCCACCTAAAAGCACTGATAGGGATTTTGAGAGCGTGAGCACACGTGTGGTGCCACCAACACACCCCAGAAGGGCTGTCCCTGGCCTCCCACATCAACCTCTGCTTTTGGAATAGCTATCCCCATTCCTGCAGTCTTCAACAACAGGGCTTGGAGCAACCTGGGCTAGTGGAAGGTGGAACAAGAAGAGCTTTAAGGTCTCCTCCAATCCAAACAATTCCATGATGATTCTCGGTGGGAGTGGAGGGGGAGCCCACCCCAGCCCAGCTCATCTGAGC